ATTGCTCTGCGGCCGGTAATAATGATCTGAATATGGTTTCGATCATAAGCCCATCAGTCTTAAACCCCCAAAACCGCCTTAAAGCTTCTTCACCCCAACAGTCGGTTATGGGGCCGAATATACTTCTAAACACCACATAGTCGTCTAAATCAAAGCTCATGGCTAAGTCGCGAATACGGTTTTGAAACACCTCGTTAACAATTGTTTAGCTTCAACCACTTCACAAGTATTTAGTTTTGCATTTATAACCTCCCTACACAATGTTTTCAAAGTTTTAGGCCGGTGCGTATTGTCTTCAACAACACTAGATTTCCTCGTATTACGAATCAAAGATGCCCAAACTCTATCCATAATAATAAAAAAAGTCTTCAGCGTAATATAGAAAAATATAAAATGGTAAATGTTTTAAAAATAAAGCTTTTATAGCTTTTTTCACACAACTAAAAAGTACTTTGTTGAATCTTGTCTAAACTGATGCGTTTAAGATTTTTAAAACTGTCATAAATCAACCACTTTAATTACACCACATGTCAATATGGTCATAAATTAAGCACTTTAATTACAGCCAAAAAGTATCCCATATCGCTTTAATTACACCACATGTCAAGGCGATCATAAATCAGTCACTTAATTACCCTGTGTCGGCACTTTAATTACACCTAATCAAACCCTTAATTTCACACACCTGTAAAGGTGGGTCATAAATCAATCACTTTAATTACCCCAAAAAGTACCCTTACTTCTACTAAGGTATATGGTATGTTTTAAAATTTATATATATGATCCATTAAAAAAATTACCTGTGTACTCATATCAATTTTCCAATTTTTGTTATAAGTAGAAAAAACACACTTTTAAATTTTTTGGGACACTTAAAATAAAAAAGTTAAACAATAGAAAAAACACAAATCATTTGGATTCCAAAAAATAAAAAGCACTTAAGTTTTATCTACTATTACTACTACTACTACTACTACTCCTTTTTTTAATTAATTATTTAATTATTATTATTATTTATATATATATATATATACACTATCGGCCAAAAGTAAAGAAACATTTTACAATTTTTGTTAAATTACTTACCCTAATATTCTCTTTACTTAAAGTGGAATAAATATATACGTTTTATGGTGTACTTATTTGGTATTAATTATAAGGTTAAAATAATCACACATTATATAGTAATATAATTTTATAGTTTTTAAAGCGGCCAAAAGTGAAGAAACAAAATATTTTTTCTAAAATAAACGAACAAAAAATTAGTAGCGGGTAGCGTAACCATTATTTTTGATAACTTCTGCACATCTTCTCGACATGGATGCAATAAGATTATTTAAAACTGTTTCCGGTATATCGTTCCACACCCTTTGAACTGCAGCTATCAAATTATCCTTATTATCGTATTTTTCGGGGTGTTCCTCGCGAATTTTGCGGTCTACGTGGTCCCAAAGGTTTTCAATTGGATTAAGGTCGGGACTCTGGGCTGGCCATTTCATCACATTCACTTTTTCCGTCTCTAACCATTCTGTAATAATTTTTGCTTTGTGTTTGGGATCATTGTCGTGCTGAAATACCCACATCAAGGGCATATTATCGTCAGTAAAAGGAACCATATGGTTTTTTAAAATATTTAAATACACAAATCTGTCCATTATGCCGTCTATAGGAATAATAGGTCCCATACCTCGACCAGAAAATGCCCCCCAAAACATTACATTACCAGCCCCGTGCTTTATTGTACCTTTAGTGTATGTAGGATCGAATCTGCAGTTTCTTGGACGTCTCACCCATCGTATTCCATCAGAACTGAACATGTTAAACTTGGATTCGTCAGAGAATAACACATTTTTCCATTGCAGTTCAGTCCAGTTCAGGTGTTCCCGTGCAAACGCTAACCTGGCAGTCCTATTCTTCGTCGATATAAATGGTTTTTTAGCTGGTCTTCGTCCATACAGCTTCATTTCATTTAGACGACGTCTAATGGACCTCACCGACAGAGCCAATCCCGGAATATTCTTTTTTATCGTCGCTGCGCTCCAGAATGGATTATTTATAGCCAGCTTTTTTATGTTCCTGTTTGCAACAGAATCACTTTTTGAAGGTCTCCCTGACTTTGGTGCATTTTTTAGGGTTCCACGATCTTTATACAAACGAATGGTTTTTGAAATAACACACCGGTTTAAATGTAATTGCTTTGCAATGTCCACTTGCCTCTCACAGGCTTCAAACTTTTTAATAATTAATTTGCGCATATCAACAGATAAACTTTTTCCTTTAGGCATATTTAAAAATGATCACTTTTCAAGAATTTATTGAATAGACAACCGTACAAGTTGTAATTAATGTACTAAAATGGTTTATTTATTGTGTTTCTTTACTTTTGGCCGATTAAAAAAGGCGAACCATCCCATTTTTTTCGAATCGCTGTGTATACTGTGTGTACCTTATATTACATTATTCATGTTGTATTTATACATAAGTTTACCAAGTTATATGTTTTTATTCCATTCAATAATAAAAATATTAGGGAAAATCATTTGTTTCTTTACTTTTGGCCGATAGTGTATATATATATATATATATATATATATATATATATATATGCAAGGAAAAATTTTTTGCTCAATTTTAAAAGGTGTCGGTGAGCATTCTAAGTTTTCCATTGAAATAACACGTAAAAAAATCTTTTTTCATTAAAAAAAATATAACTTTTGAACCGTTTGAGATAAAAATTTTTACGTCGCGGATTCTTGTAGAGCATAAAATTTCCTACAAAATCTATCCCAGAATTATTTTTTTTCAATTTAAAAATTCGTATATTTGAAAGCTTTGAAAAGTGAAAAAAATCATAATATTTAGTTTTAGTGTTTTTTGACTAAAAATGTTCATTAGGGTGTTTCATTTAAAACGAAAAATTTTTTTTTCTTGCTGACACATGAAAATTTCGGTTTTTAGGTTGAAAAAAAATTCCCTGAAAATTTGAGCCCTTAATTTTGATTCAAGTACTTCCTTTTTAATTTTGTAGTTTTTCCATATAAAAAGCATGTATTTTTAATCATTTTTACTTTAAATTTCTATATTTTGGCCGGGTTTTTAATTATAATTTTTATCACCATAATAAAGGCCCTGCATCAATTTTGTTTTTGATTTATTTACGTTGATTGTAGTAGCTCCAAAAGTCGATTTTTCACTTTTTCTCATATTTTTGAGAAAATCGAGCGAATGACTGGTTTTACCGAAAAAGTTCAAATAAAAAAGTTGTAGAAAATTTAATTTTTGACTAAAAAGGTGTTTACGTTCATATCACAAGAGATATAAGCAATATATAGTTGTTGAATGAAATTACATAAATTTCAATAAAACCTATTTTTTCTTTGTTTTTGGTTATTGAATTGCTTATATCTCTTAAACAAAGCACTTTAGTGATATGAACGTAAGAACCTTTTTTGTCAAAAATTAAATTTCCTACAACTTTTTATTTGAACTTTTTGGGTAAAACCAGTCATTCGATGGATTTTCTCAAAAATATGTGAGAAAAAGTGAAAAAACTACTTTTGGAGCTACTACAATTAACGTAAATAAATCAAAAACAAAATTGATGCAGGGCCTTTCAAAAACCGTGAATACTATGCAGAAAATTATGGTGATAAAAATTATAATTCAAAACCCAGCCAAAATATAGAAATTTAAAGTAAAAATGATTAAAAATACATGCTTTTTATATGGAAAAACTACAAAATTAAAAAGGAAGTACTTAGAATCAAAACTAAGGGCTCAAATTTTCAGGGAATTTTTTTTTCAACCTAAAAACCGAAATTTTCATGTGTCAGCAAGAAAAAAAAATTTTTCGTTTTAAATGAAACACCCTAATGAACATTTTTAGTCAAAAAACACTAAAACTAAATATTATGATTTTTTTCACTTTTCAAAGCTTTCAAATATACGAATTTTTAAATTGAAAAAAAATAATTCTGGGATAGATTTTGTAGGAAATTTTATGCTCTACAAGAATCCGCGACGTAAAAATTTTTATCTCAAACGGTTCAAAAGTTATATTTTTTTTAATGAAAAAAGATTTTTTTACGTGTTATTTCAATGGAAAACTTAGAATGCTCACCGACACCTTTTAAAATTGAGCAAAAAATTTTTCCTTGCAGGAAAATTTTTTGCTCGGTATGTAGGTTCATTTTAACCCATAAATCCGATAGGTTAGTTTTTTTGGCTCACCCTAATATATATATATATATAATACATTAGAGTGCTTCAAAAAATAAAATTTAATTTTTTTTTGCTCTTACCCTCTCAAATGTTTCTATTTAATATAAAAAAAACCTCACCAAATATGGGCGTTCCAGCTCAACTCTAAGAGGTCGCTGTTTTTATTTTAGTTTCCCATTTAATTAACATGGGAAAAATAATTTAATGTTTGGAATTTTATACCTCTGTATCAAAGTAACTTATGGCAATGATCATTGCAGTTTCTTATATAAAATGTAACGCTCTACAAAAAGGTCTCTTATTATTTTTCGATAAATTGATTTCTTCTAGAGTTCGCGAGCTGAGTACTAAAGTGTTCTAACTGCACATGTTCTAACTTTACAGGACAGCCATTTGAAATATTGACGTTTAGATTTTGGAAACTCTCTGTCTAAAGCTTTGTAGAATATTACCATAAATTAGCCAAAAATACATAGTGTATTTGTCATTAATGAAACTCCAAAATACCAGGTTAACCACAGTTTATGAATAAAAAAATCAAATCAAAATGTAGTTAGAACATTTTGAATCCGAAAATAAATTATTCCAAGGTGTTTTGTGTTCTATCTGCATAATAGTACTAAACATAATTATAACAAATTATATTAAACGTAAACTTTATTTGAACAATCTAAATTCTTTATATAAAAAAATAATTAATATTGCATTATAACGATTTTTCACTTTATTTTTATTTATCATTGGCGTTTTTCGTAAAGGTTCCATTTTTTCACATTTTTTTAGGTTTTCTTCTGTTTCGGTGACTTATTGTCAGCTTTGTTTGCTTTCTTCATGGGTTTCTCTTTAATTTTATCTTTTTCTTTCTCGCTTTTGTCCTTCTTTTCCTTCTTTTCTAACTGCTTAGCTAACTTCTTGATATTTTTCTCATCTTTGTATTCATAGAAGAAAGTTTTCAAGCATGTTCTGTCTACTTCTGGAATAAACTTAAACAGTTTGTAAAGATGATACACCTTGTCCTCAGTGAGAAGGCACTTTGTTGGCTCTGGAACTGTACTTATTTTGGGCAGTTTAGCATTAAGTGGGCTATTTCTGGTTTTTTGTGTTATTTGAACTGCCTTAAACTGTGAGATTTCATCTGAGTAATCCAATTTGTAATAAATGTGGAATGGTTCATTTGGTTTGTATTTCAATTGTTTAACTGAACAATAAGGCACTTCGTCGAATTTAAAACTTTTTGCAGCTTTCTCATATTCCTTAAAATCTTTCAGTTGGATTTAAATTACTTTAAGTGGGTTTTTCTTATTTACAGCTTTCAGGGATCTTAAAAGGCCCAATGGGCTGTAAATCTCAAGGTGTTCAAACTTCCTGTCAATTTGCGAATGTATGTTATCAACCTCTTGTACTTGTCCATGGCCCGGTTCCGAAAACTTCTGTATTATTTCATTTATATTAGGGTTTTCCTCAAGGAATTTTTTTAACGCCATGGTCATAATTGAGTTTCGGTTCTGAGGCACGCATGAATCTGACCATAATATTACCTTATTAACGCCTGGAAGGTCCCGAAGTACATTCTCTAATATTTTTACGATTGCAGATGCCAGGTCTGATCCTTTTCGTCCATGCATGCCTTCAGACCAAATCGCAGAGTAAGCTCTTTTATTTAAATTGCAGTGCGCTGTCATATTATAACAATTTCATTTTTTGCTGTAAAAGAAACATGATATGCCAGCTTTTGGCAAAGCAAATACGTTTTCCATATCGAAACATATTACAGCAGTATTTAATTTGTCTAAAACTCCATGATCTTTCTCTGCAATAATCCCCCGATCTATTTGTCGATTTTCGTAGCAAGCTTTTTTAAGTTGCAAATGTTTTTCATAGTTTACGTCTCCTTCTTGACCTTCACATACTTTGACTTTATTTTCTTCGCATGTGTCGCATCTGTCAGTTTTCGGTTTCCAGAATGAAATATTAAATTCAAAATTAAAAATATTTCTGTAATAGCTTACTTTCACAGGAGTAATGTAACGCTCTTGACACCATTCTGTGTATAACTCATAGAGTTTATTAAGATTCAGGCCGGATTCAAAGTATTCTTTCTTAGTGCGCTGCCTACAATAATGTGATTCAATCCGTGTCTTCTTTCATCCTCAATTTTTTTTTTGATATGTTTCCCAGTTTTAATTGCTATCGGATTTCCTGTCGTTTCCTCGCGCTTATTTGAAAAAAAAATATGAAATTCTTCTCTGGCTTATGTCCAACGTGCTTAGAAAAAATTGCTTACACACTTTAATAGGTTCGTTATTTAGGTGAAAGTAGTAATAAAATGTAAAATTGCGTCGGGAGTTTACAGATGTTGTTGTATTTCTTTTCTTAAATATACGCTGAGTATTTTTATTATAAAAGTGTTGTTTACTTTCGTCAGACTAAATCCAAAACTCTTTGTTAATTTTTTCTCTCTCTTCACTTGAAATTTTCTTGCTGCATTTAAGTTTGCAGCTTTGGTGACAATTTTTTAAATCTCTCACTTGTTTTTTCTTACGATTTTTTCCTTTCCAGTTCACATATGCTTGTCCATGCTCGCGTGCGTCTTTCTTTACATTTCTTACCCATTGTTCTGGACAGCGCTTCCGTTTTCTAGTGAGCCTAATAAATAAATATCAATATCTTGTTGTTACATAATAGGGAAAAGTGACAATTAATACATACCTGGCTACCTTGTCAGCTGTTTCCCCATTAGATAATTGTCTTTCAACTGCACTTTCCTCATTTTCTGTTATATTCAGTGTTTTAGCTTCTACTTCTACCTCATTACCAAACATGATATCATTATTATCTGCGAGCAAGGTGGTACTATAATAATTATTGGCAATTTCTTCAGAATCGGGTATATAATTGGGATCCTTATCAACGTCATCCCCATCGTAATATGGGTCGCTTGGACTATCGACTTCAAATTCATCACCAGAGTGACTGTATCCAAAATAAACCCTAAAAACGAGGTTATGTTTGTTATTTTTTTAAGAAACGTAAAACTAGAACCTAATTTTACAAAAAAACTAAATATTGAAATAAAGACAACAAAAATACTTAATACTTACTCTTTAATCTCCATTAAATCATTAAAATATTCACACGAATTAAACAGTAAACAAACACAGTGTCGCCAAACTTAATCACTAAATTTTGGTGCTAAAATGTTCTAACTGCGAATGGCATAATCTTATTGGTAGCTCAGATACACCATTTAAGCACCAAACTTTTCTTTTCAAAGTAGATAGAACAAATTTGCTTTATCTTTTTCAATAAATTGGTTGATTATAGCCGTGAATTGACAATGCACCTAGAAAAATCATGTCAAAATATGTAGGTTTTAGCTGCCTTGTTTTGCCCCCTTTCACCTCCTGTCTGCTACCATAAAATTAAAAAAAAACAAAAACAGAAAATTTGATGTTATCAAACCTTGACCTCGAATAACTCTAGAAGAAATCAATGATCATTGCCATAAGTTACTTTGATACAGAGGTACAAAATTCCAAACATAAAATTATTTTTTCCCATGTTAATTAAATGGGAAACTAAAATAAAACCAGCGACCTCTTAGAGTTGAGCTGAGACGCCCATATTTGGTGAGGATTTTTTTTATATTAAATAGAAACATTTGAGAGGGTAAGAGCGAAAAATAAAATAAAATTTTATTGTTTGAAGCACCCTAATATATATATATATATATATATATATATATATATATATATATATATATATACATATTTTTGGTTAGCTGTCTATCCAAAACACAACTAGGATACATAAACACCACATTTCAACAATAAAAAGTTATAAACAATAAGTCTTTAATGGTTGTAAATTTCAAATATTGTTCAGTCCCGAAAAGGGAATTTGGCTATAAGTTGTCATTTCATTTTATTTTTCAAAATTATTTTTTTTATATTAACAGCCGTCAATCTCTAAAACGCAAGTGGGATAAATAAACAACATTAAAAAGTTATTAACAATAATTCTTTAATGGTTGTAAATTAAATAAAATAAAACATGGTACAGCCAAATTCAATGGTAGTAGTACACCTTTCCCGAACTGAACAATATTTGAAATTTAAAACCATTAAAGACTTATTGTTTATAAATTTTTATTGTTGAAACTTGTTGTTTATGTATCCAAGTGTGTCTTGGTTAGGCGGCGGCGGTTAAAAAAAAATAAAAAAAAAATAAATGACAACGTGGTACAGCCAAATTCAATAGTAGTAGTACACGTTTCCCGAACTGAACAATATTTGAAATTTACAACCATTAAAGACTTATTGTTTATAACTTTTTATAACACTACCTATTTGGAAAGTACCAAAACCTGGTCGACCAACAAAAGACTTTAAAGAATCATGTGATCGTAGCAAGCGACGTAAAACACAAGAGTTAAGGGAGAAGATTCCTCACGAGCAGTTGACATACGCAGCCCGTGTTGGTGAAGGTACAGCAGGAAATACTGACGTTTCTAAAATAATAAAAAAAATCACCACATCACCAACAAGGGCTACAAAATAATACTTTCCAAAGAAAAAAATGTTATAAGAAAGCACACACCATCAGAAGCCCTGTCAATATTTGTGGAAGCCAACGTAACAAGAAAACAATGGGAAGTTATTCAAGGGGCCAATAGGAATGTTTATCCCAGCTACTCAATTATTCAAAAGGCAAAAAAAGATTGCTATCCGAGAGAAGGGTCGATAAACGTAACATAAACATTCGCAGAAACTCTTTTGACGTCAAAAATTTGGAGGTATAGTTGGCAATTATTTTTGTTATATTGACAGCAATGTTTATTTTTAACAAAAAAAAGGCAAAAGAATAAATTAATGTGTCAATTTAGCCTAAACCAACTTAGATATTATTTTATATGTACTGTATAAAGTTTTAATCACCAAATTACTAAATAAAATATTGTTTAGGTTAATAAGATTATACATATATGTTCTTGACCGTTACAATATTAGCTTTAAAATAAAAAAGTAAAGAAATATCTCAAGTAGTTTCCGAGTTATAAGCCCATGTCCAAAAAGGGTATACTTTCGTTCCACAGCGCGCTGCGATCCCGTCGAACCAAAACCGTTTGCTAACATCCGCCCGTGTAAAAATCCTTATCATTCGCATTTCACTTGCTTTTCCATATTTTTAGTTAATTTGCATTGTTAGATTTATTAATCTATTTTCTTATTACTATTTGCTGTGACCTTCAGTTTCTATATTCATTGTTTACCGTTTTTATTCATTTACTTTTGTTTTTAACATTTATCTGTCGCTAAAATTATTTTAGTTTATTAATTTTATTATATCATTTTCTATTATATACCGAGTGTTCTACATTGAGGAGATCTGCAAATAACCCCCCCTACTAAACAATCCGTGGGATATTACGATCCTAATTGTTTAAAATAAATGTATTCAAAAAGTCTTAAACCATACCTCATTAAGATTATGCAAGTATCTGGATGATGTTTTGGCAACTTTAACAGAAAATGAAAAAAATAGTTTGGAATTAATGTCGAAATGGGGATTGTGACGGTTCCCAACAGTCCCAATTTAAACAAAAATTTCCTGATCCCATGAATAGTGACACCAATATTTTTCAAAGTTCATTTGTTTCTTTAAGGCTAACGTGCAATTATTCGGATGAAGTAAAAATTATATGGCAAAATCCAGTTCCCTCATCTCCAAGATTTTGCAGGCCAAGGACGAGATTGAATACATTGAAAATCAAATTAAAAATCTGAAGACTACTGAAGTTCCCATATCTGATGGTTTGCTTCATATTAATCACACATTAGTACCTACTATGGTAGATGGAAAGGTCTGCAATGCTGCGACAGATACGACCTCTACGATGAGATGCTACATTTGTGGAGTTACCTCAAAAGATTTCAATGAGGAATCAACAGAAAATCCTGATGCCTTAAAATATGGTTTGTCAACTCTTCATGCCAAGATTAGGTTTTTCGAGTTTCTGTTGCATATATCATACAAAATACCAATTAACACTTTGGCTGCCATAAGATGCCAATGTGGCTTCTCACCAATTTTTATCCTGGGGCCGCGAGAAGCAACTTATGCATCTCAGTCAAGGCTGAATATTCGCGCCGTGTGAATCTAGCTTTGTTACTTGGCGACGTGTATTTCATATGGAAGTGATATTTTATGGCTGTAAGAACAATAAATCGTTATTGGCCTGTTATATTGAGTATCACATGTGGCTTTACATGGCTCTTAATTTGGATACAAATTAAACACTGTGATTAGAAAAATAGGTTTAATTGTAACGTTTTTGATTCTAAATAAAGTAGAGAAAATAGAGGTACAAAATAAATAAATTGTGATAACTAAAATTAAAAATTTTTTTTTACTTCTGTAACATAGAAGAAAACTAATATGTGCAGCGATAAACTACAAAAAAACATTTCAAACAGTAATTTTTCTGACATATTATATATTTATATCTGGAAAATGGCGTAAATTTCTGTGCATGGGCACGACCATGAGCATTACTTAAGTTTTTGTAACAAATCACACATCTACGCCTTCCGGTATGTCCTACGTCTTCTAGAGAATGTTGAGGGGATGGATTTTTATTGTCAATGGTATTGTCCTCTGTTTGAAGTAGTTCCAATGCAAAAAGCTCCTTGAATTTAGTTATTGAAATTTTGTCATTGGTTACTTGCTGGTGGATTATGAAGGCGTTTACTAAGGCTGTACCAACAAGAAGTTCTATGGCTAAGTTTTGATACCACTTCACCCCCTTTCTCAGTGAAGTGGCATTTGATCCGATAAATCAATGAAAGATTTATGGTTATACTAATCAACAATCATTTGTGGTTTTTCTGTCTCCTTGCGTCCACATGTAAACTTTACTAATTCTGATGTATGTTTAGTGCTCAAAGTCAATACATCACGCTTGTCTTTCCATTTTTGGACGACGACCCCAGTACTACTTTCTGAAGCAATTGTCTTTCCTTTTTTTAGTCGTTTCTTAGTTACTTCTGTTGGGTTTAGTTTACGATTAGGTCTCAATGTTCCCACTAGATAAGTTTGTTTTTCTAACAACGAATGTGCCAATGAAATACTAGTATAGTAGTTATCCGTTTAGATGGTGCGTCCTTTATATAGTAAATATTTTGCGAGGGAATGGACTATATTTTCAGAGGAAGATTTTCCTTCGACTTTGTCTTGTCCACAATAAACAGACAAATTATATGTATACCGAGACACAGCTTATATAATTTGATTCCAAACTTGTGACGTTTGTTTTTTATAAATTGTTTAAAACCCAAACGTCCTCTAAATGGAACAAGAATTTCGTCTATACATATGCCCTCGCTGGGCTTGATATGTTTCTGAAAGTTTTCTAGAAGTTTCGTCAGGAGCGGCAAAATTTTCTGCAATCTTTCGCCTGTTATTTCTTCATTATTGAGGAAGTGCCACATTTTTAACAGTATTTGAAAACGGTTTCTTGCCATTATTGTGCGTATTTTATTCTCGTAAATTGTGCTTTGAGACCAATAAAACTAAATAGTAGGATATTGACATACGCCCATCCAAACACACACACCAAGAAACTTGTTCATTTCGGTTATATCTGTATCGCGCCAATCGTGAATTCTTACCTTTGGAGCAGTTTTCTTTGCTTTGCACTGATGAGCATACCTATTGGTTTCAGTTACCATCATATTGAGTATATCTTCATTTAAATTGAGTATATCTTCATTTAAATTGAGTATATCTTCATTTAAAAATAACTGATAAAAATCAATTGGTCATAAAGCTCAACATCTATGCCACAGTCAGGTTCAGAAATTATATACATTTTCTTCGGTAAAATTCGTCACCTGCCGCCTGCCAAGCACACACGGCGCGCCCAAATACCGCGCAAGGCGCGTAATTTGAATCAGAATTCTGAGTAGCCGCTTACGCTTCTCACGGCTGTATGTACCAAGCTTAACATTTAAGGCCGCGAGAAGCAGATGTGGCTTCTCACAAAACAATACAATAAAACATGTTTTTTTCTGTAACAAAAATTTAAAAGTATATCAAGGGCGCCAAAACAAGACAATTTTTGGCCAGTGGGTCAAATTTTTTTTAACATTGCGGCAGCCAACGTGTTAAGAAGTGGCAAGCGCGCACAAGCGAAGAAAAATAATCTTGTTGCGGAAACAAAAAAGAAAATTCAAAATGATTTTAAACGAGAAATGGGTCTTCTAGTTGATATTCCAAAGGCAGGATTCGGGAACACGAATGATGGTAAAGTCAAGAAGATTTTTTGCCGATCCCGAAACCGTATCCCGTATTACAGGGGTTGATATTTGTCTTATTAAGAAATTTAAAACAATTTTAGATGCCATTTCAAGCGGATATAAAATTGACACAGAAAAATTTTCTAGGTACACCAGAGAAACAGCTGAACTTTATGTTTCTCTATATAAATTATATCTCCAACGATTCATAAAGTATTGATTCATGGAGCTACTGTCAAAAATTAAGCTATAATACCTGTTGGACAACTCTCAGAAGAAGCTGCTAAAGCCAGAGCATAAGCATTTTAGGCAGTACAGACAAAATTTTTCCCGAAAATTTACACGCCAGCATTGCAACATAGATGTGTTGAATAGATTATTACTGAGTTCGGATCCATTTTTAAGTGCTTCAAGGCCAAAAATTAAGAAAAAGTAAGCCGTTCTTCAAAGAATGTTTAGAACTATTCGTTCCAGAAAACACTTTTCATGGGCGTCCAACGGAAGAAGAGGATGAAGAAGAAGACGATGATAAAGGAGAATACGAGGAGGAAGAGGAAGACGAAGAATATTTGAACTCTGATTAGTGTATATATATATAATAATTATTATATTTTTTACAATATATTTTTGCATTTTTATGAAAAAAAATTAAAATAACATATTTTATCATTTACCACACATCATTTAAAATAACATTAAGTCCATAAAACGCATAAAATATTTTTGTCCGAAAATCGATCTCAAATACTCCTCTGTGCGGCGGTTAAAAAATAGTGGTACTAAACGGTTAAATAAAATTCCCCTAATATTAATTAAATGCCTCGATTAAACTATCTTAGTTAACCGCTCGAAGTCTGAATCTATATCACCTACGTCTAGAATTAACTTATTTACCCTAGCTAGATTAACTCTTCATTCTTGTAGCTCTTTTTTATATTAGTAGGTATATAGAGACTTTAAATCATTAAAAAGAGTTCCAAGATCTGTCATTAGCAAGCAATTATTATAAAAAGTAATAACCTAAATACATAATAAATGTACTACTTATATTTTTATGGGCCTCTACGGCGCCTACTAACGACATTATGTCACATTAGTACAGTCCCACGTCGCTGACCCTTTGCTCTACAGTCAATTGATGTTATGCCAAATCGTCTTGACTTCTTGCGATTTATTTTCTAATTTTTCTTTCCAATGACTTCTTAGCTCGGTAACAACAGTAAAAAGTAATACCAAAAATTATGAATGCCACTGTCACAACGGCCCCTACTTCAAAGAGTGTAAGTCCAATAGCACCAGATGTTTTTCCCTTTTCACTTTTAAATCTCAGTCGAAAGTAAAAATAGGGATTTTATTAACTTAACTCACGCACTGGCAGGATCGCCATGTAATGCCCGAATACGTTGGGGTAAGGATCATAGCATGAGTCAAGGAAACATAAGAGACCTTTACAGGAACGGTGTTCGATTTATTTTATTCATTTTATAATTATTGTTTAAGTTCATTAACATTTATAAAATACAAGATAGTCATATTTGCTAAACAGTATACTTTTGACTATGATTTCGCTATTTTATTGATATTGCAAAATTAGTTTATAATAAATTATTATTAATAATTATTTAAAGCATTATGACTTTTCCACTACAGAATCTTGGACTCATAAATGTGTTTTTGAGGTTAGCCCTTCCAAGGTTGGGTCATGGTAATAGTAAATGAAAAAGTAAAATTGGCCTATATTCAAATTCAAATTTAGGAATTTACAGGACGCCAGCGGCCAGTACATATTTTCTAGCAATCAATAATAGGATGGGAACCGACATTGTCTGCATATTGGTTAGGCTAAAAAGAAAATAGTTAATTTGTATGAAACCATAGGTTAGTTAACAAAAATGTGTGTTGGGGACAGAAATCTTGCTTAAATGCTATGTTATGCATGCTCAAGAAAAATGATATTGAAATGCAGCAGAGGTTAGTTAACAAAATAAAAACTTTCGGATTACAAAAAGATTAATTGTAATGGGAGATGATCGTCTTGTGTGTATGTTTTTTTAATTTTTTTTTATCATCAATCAGTTCATTGTTGTTTTTTTATTGATCAGAGCTTCATCTTTTCCACATTTTGTTAACAGTTATATAGTGGGGAAAGTATGTGGATAGGAGAATTATGGACGGTAAAAGAAAAAAGTTTTTGGAATCTACTTCGACGGAAGAAGTTGAAAAAATTGGATCTCCTTATCACAGTAAGTAAATTATTGAGGAACAAATAATTCTTATTGCAGAACCAGGTTCTACTTTTTTGTTTACCCTTTTAGTTCCACCCTTACTTCTCAAGAATTCCCAGAAGCCAACTGAATGGCTTGAGCGGATTACGGGTAGAAACGGACCGCGGGTTTAAAGGAATAATACACAATAGTTCAAATACAAATAAACAGCCATACCCCTGGTGGGATTCGAACCCGCGACGTCTCGGCTTATAGTCAGCAGCACCAACCACTAGTCCACCGTCGGCGGACACTAAGGTCATGTGACGCCTACTACCGGAAGTGCCAGTAGTATTAAGACAAGCCTTTTTAAATTCATTTAAGAGTATTTGGTTGAAAATTTAAACGAAATTGCAGCAGTGGGTTGTGACGATACGGTAGTAAATACAGGCTTCAAAAATGGTGGTTTATAGGTTAGAGAGTTAGCCTTACTTTAAAATGTCGAGATTTCAAAACTAATCTCCAACTTCGTGATTTTAAAGTGTCAAAGTGCTACCGATTATACAGAGCTAATTAATTGCCAATCAGATGAAGTCACGTCACAGTCAGAAGCAGATATTAGGGAAATGGTTTTTAATAATTCCGATACTACAAAAATTTTGAATTTTCCATGCGATACTCAGGATGTGGACACAAAGACACATTAAGATGGTAATTGAGGCATCTAAGTCAGTATGGGACGTAAAGAAAGATTTTACCAAGTAAGTTTTTATAATAAGGGTAGGAAAGGGGTGGAAACCGTCTTGCAGTCACCTCCTTGTGGTGGATTCTGGGTTGTTTAAAAAAAAAACAAACAAATAGCTGCAACAAAAATTGCAAATTATCTCCTATTTTAAAATGAAAAAGGAACATGAAGGCCTAATAATTAGTTTTATTTTCGGAGGGCGAAAAATAAATAGCGGATCATTGTCCTGGTCATAATAATAGTAATAATATCAACGATAATAACAATAATTGTTACTAATAATAAAACTATATATAACCTTAACAAAATTTATTAAAAATAAATAATAACAAAATTAACTAATTAATATTTTGTCATCTCGCCTTCTGCAGCTATTACCGCATCACACCGGGATCTCATTGACAATACCAAACTTTGACATATTTGGGTGCCTCTTAAAGAATCCCAAACTCCAATGCAGTGATGTTGCAGTGCATCCCTGGTTCTTTCATTTTCATTTTCCCAGATGTTTACCATTTTGGCCCATAGGCTATGGGCTATAAGATTTAAGTCTGGGGACCTACTTGGCCATGGCATATTAATAATATCCTGGTTTTCGCGAAGTTTCACGATTATATGTATTTTTTTTTATTAATTTGTTAAATGTGGGTACGGCTGTTGATCTTTGCACCTGTGTTTAGAGAAAAGACATGAAGTCTAGCCTCCTTACACTGTGCATAAGCAGCAAGTCTGAAATAAAGACATAAATTTGGACAACATAAAAGATATAACAAGATCTAATTGAAAAAGCAGTTTGCATTGGTGTAGTTAAGTTAAGAATGAAAGAAAAACTAGGTGGTTGCCAACATGGCTCTCAATTAAAAACATAGAGGATAAAAGTTTAACATTTAAAAATTAAAAATTTGGTAAAAATTTAAAAAGGTCCTGATTAATATTAATTGGGCTAGGCCTCTTTTCAAAGTTGTTAATTGTTATTTCCTCACAAAACCTTTATTTTTTTTTTATGTTTTTTTTTGAGGATTGTCTTGTAGTTTTGTGTTTGTATTAATCTTTTTTTTTTTTTTTTTTTTGGTTTTGGTGGGCTATGCCTCTTTTCCAATAACTAGCGTACGACACTGCACTTAGCATTTATAAAAGGACTGATGGTCTGGGTACTTACAATGAAGAAAATAGAAAAATAATATGATATGCAGGTGCAGTGTCTTTTATGGTTAATCCGGGTCTGGTTCGAGTAAGAACCCTTGAATACCTTGATATAGTCTTCTTTGCCGAGGATCGTAGTCGATACTGTTTCTCGCTAATTGATTGTCGCCAGATTCAGCACGGTAAGCCGTGCCGGTGGTGAGCTTTTTGATGTGGGCTGCCATGGTGGAGATCTGAAGGTCTCTGCGTAGGTTATCATTGTGACCTGAGGTTGCTGTGCACCATGCTGCCGCAGCATACGTTAGAACTGGTCGTATGCAGGATGTCCAGATCAGTTTAGACCACTGTTCTTGGCAGTTAGAGGACGGAGGTTGGACATTTGCTGAGTGGCTTTTTCAATGGAGCGTGTTATGTGGTTTTTCCACGTTAGTCGTCTATCTATGATTAAGCCGCGATATGTGACTTGCGGAAGCCATTGGAGATAATGGCCCGCGTATTGAAGGGGTTGGGGAAGCATGCCACCGCCCTTTGCCACATGGATGGCTTGAGTTTTGTCTGGATTAATTACAGTTCGCCAGCGTTCTGCCCAGTCCTCTAGCTCGTCGAGAGCAATTTGTAACCTTAGCTTTATATCCGGGTTTCTTCGGGATCGAGTGAAGAGGGCGTTGTCATCCGCATATAGCGCAATGTGCACCTCAGGATCTCTTGGGAGCAGGGCCGGATTAAGGTCTCGTGGCGCCCGGGGCCAAAAGTTTTCATGCGCCCCCAATTTTTTAAAAACCCAACATTTCGTCCTCGAAAATTTTGAAAAAAATTGTATAGAAAATAAATAAAATGAAAAAAAACCAAAGCGTGATTTAATTTTTAATAAACTTTTTTTCGTAGTTTACAGCTTATAAAATTTGAAATTATTATTTCCTCATCTAAGGAATCCACCAATGTATTTTCTATACACAAAAGTGACAAATTACTGGTTTTTAAATCACCCATGCAGTTTCTTAAATAATTTTTAATTCTTCCTAAAACCGAAAACGACCTTTCTGCACTAACGTTGGTTACTGGTATGGTTAAAAATATTTTCAAAGCTGTATCGATATTTGAATAAGTAGAAATAATTTTTTGTTGTCTTATTAATTTTAACATATCAGCCATTTTCATGTGTTCTGTATTAGATTTTTTTTGTCTCAAGCTTTTTATAAAATATTTGAAATGTATACATTCTTCTGGAAAATCTTCGTCCAAGTCTGTTGAATACAATAGTTCTTTAGCTTTTGTTAATATTACATTATCAGGGATGTCGCATAATGAATTAAAAAATCCAAAAAGATTAAATACATGTTCATAGGCATTCTTTCTTCGATTGAGTATGAGTATGAGTATAAGAGACGTATAACCAGCCCCATTTCCTCTTGACTCTCAAACCCCGTACAGGCCTATGTTTACTTACGCCGATTTTTGTTCTTCCCCAGCAACTGCACGGCTTCACCCGTGT